ACGGGGGGGGGGGGGCACGCTGCACCATCAGCTGGGGGCCTTCATTTGGAGCCATAATCAGATCCCCAGTAGAATAGGGGATCTAATGAGTCGGGCTATATTGGCCCATTTTATTTTTGAGCATCTTGAGCATGCTGTTCACGGCCAGATGCCCGAGAACTTTTGACCGTCCCAAGACGCACGTTGAGCAGCAGTATCCGATGGCCTCCAATACATTAGTGAAAGTCCCAGCGTTCCTTACAGGAACTAAGAGGCCGACAGACTTTGAGAAGAGTGATGTCGAATTATTCATTGGAATCTAAGCGTTCAGCCACAGGATTTTCGTGTGCACTGATGAGGATTACGAGCAAATTTCACGTGACCCTGTTGGGTTAGTAGTTTAGACGAGAGCTACAGAGAGTTCCGTGGTTCGATCGCTCCTTCTAGGTTCGGGCAACTGGATAATACTTGAGCCGTTGTGCTACATGACGTATACATCAAGGTGCTATCACAGCTGGGTGGTTCGATTTAATTCGGTCATCCCGTTGGTCGTCGTTCACATTTGCAAATTTGCATATGGTGTCACTTGCGGTCTATCATGCTACTGAGTGAGCTCTTGTGTCCATTGGTGAATCATAGGCTTTGGATTTCACCAGACGCCTTTAGTCAAGGTGTTCTGAGAGCCAGGAAGGCTCAGCCACAGGGTATTTCACCCTTTTCAGGTTCTCCAGATGGGCGGAGAGAGATTGAACACGTCAGGAACCTGGGACCACCAATCAATAGCCACACTCTGATGCGTCGAAATTAGGGCCCTCAGTTGTTCGTCAGTTGGCATGAGTGTCCGCTGGGTTTCAAACCCCATGTTTTTTTTTTGAATTCATCAGACCTTTCCTGGAGATAGCTGGCTATTCTGATTGAACAATCTGACTTCACGACCAGTCAGGTTGTCTGATTAAGTCAACAGCACTCGATCGATACGTAGTCTATTGTAATCATAGGCGTAAGTAAGTAGACGCGCGATCATCAGTATTCCGTTGTCAAGATAACTAGTGTGAATCTCAATCAATACCGATACAGTCAAGTAAAAAAGTGTTGACAACGCCAGAAAGTGGATGTGAGTTCCTTCATTTTACCCCACTGTAGTAACTGATCAGAAATCCAGGTACAGGCAGTTGGTTGGCGCCTAGGGCAACGATGCTACCCTGGACCCAAGTTACTATGTTAAGCGGCGACAGTTGTGAATTACCGTTGTGCACCCCGAGGTGGACCATGGTGTTTTCACCCCCCGGAGTTCCGGGGGGTTGACCTTAAACAATCGTACGCACTCTGAGCCTTTAGGATTGTGGGTGAAACGTACGAGCGGTTTCGGAAGTGGTGAAATTGGCATAAATATAGGGGTCAAGTTGAATGGAGCGACGAAGATTGCAGCTGATTTGCTTGCTTTTGGCATGCTTGGCCGTGGAAAACATTGTCAAACACCGGTTTATCGATCGAGTTTATTGGTGGTCGAAGCATGGCTATCCTATCGCAGTTAGCGCTGTGATTGCGTGCGTTTATTCTGATTGATTAGACAACCCCACGTCATCAGACCATACGAAAGCAACCATCGTCTTGGTGACGGCAAGGTACTTGCTAGAACATGAGTCGCGTATGATTTCTTCTTTCACATTTTTACATGACTAAAAGCGGGGTGTTCATTTTTTTTGTATTTTCAAGGTTATAATAATTATACGAATCTAGTTAGTGACAGTATACAGAACCGCACTCATGCGCGGCAGCTACTTGAGAATAACCGGTTGTTTACGATTGGTTCACTTGTGTTGTTCACGGGAAGAGAAAATTTCCCACCGGAACGTTTTCCAGCATGAAACTGCAACTGAATTTGTGATTATTGATCTTTCCATTGCGTGGCAACCAAGCGACCTTTCGTTGTCGTACAAACGGCCATACAGACAGCATTTCTGACAGGAATGCTATCGATTACCACGAAACCGGGCAGTCCTGTTTCCGAAACAGACCTATGCAGACCTATTTTTCATCCTTTCTCGCATGCTGCTGCACACCTGCATTCATGAGTTCCCTTTCTTGAATGTGTGCTTGCACTCTTGTTCGATGCACATTGTGTTGGTGTCGTATGTGGCGCCAGTTTATGATTAAAATTTCTTTTAAGCGAAATCTACCAATGGAATCCTAGCTAGTCGCTACACAGGATTTCACAATTTGAAAGCTTTAACTTCATTGAACTGTTTTACTTCGATCCGTTTGGATACCGCACAGTCGAACAATCACTAACTCTTCCGCAAATTCTATACACTTGAATCAAACCGGTCAACGGTTGTGCCCTTTTTGGTGTATAGCTGTCACGCCCCCCCAAGGGCTGAGCTGCTGTCGGTCTACTCAGTTTTAGACAGGAACAGTCGGAAATCAGCTTAGGGCAGCGAAAGTTTTTGTCAGGAGAACATGCCTTAATCTTCCGGCTGTCTCACCGAATAGTACAGCCAGTGGCTGTATAAGGTTCTCCGTAAAAGACTATCTGCTCATAAGCAATGACCTTCCGCTTCCCACTATTCTTCCTTATAAATAGAGGGTAACTCCAGGCTGTAAAGCCTCTCGATCATAATGTAGGTGCCTTTCAGCAAAACAACAACAACCGCAGTTTATTCCACCGTTAGTTTTTCCATGTATTCTAACTATTCTGTCATGTTTACCCCTAGCTTCAGGGTACCTACTACTTTTTTGCTTTCTATATGCATATGTTTTCGGGGTGGATAGGAAACCAGCCCTTAGCCATTGTCCACCAGCTACACGCCCGTAAACTCGTATTAAGCGGCGAGTCACTCCATCCGTAGTACGCCAGGGTCGTGACCTGTTTTGGGACGATAAGACCGGATGGAACACCAAGGCAGCTAATTTTTACCCTCACTCCCTATACGAAATCCGCGCATGTAATCATAGCGGCCACCAATTTAGTTGCATAGAGCTGGAGTAGTGGGAATCTCGGTAGCCTATGATAGGGATAGTGTGAGGGTCTACATGGAGGGGATGTCATGGCCACAACCGTTCGTGGAAGCCGTACGTTTGCAAGCCTTATTACATGCGGCGAGTAAAATTTCAAATACACACACTGAAAGGACAGGGTCACCATGCTTTCTACTTGACACTGGAAATGCTTACAATGATAACACTGTTTATCTTCCTTCTATGCCTGCACAGACGTTGCCCAGCGCTTTACCACCAATCGAGGACCCGAAATGTGTTTGGATTTGCACACAAGCGAAGCTGCCCTTCAAGAAGGAAACCGATTACTTTCCTTCGATTCTTCAACTACTCCCATGAAGCGTATTCGACATACATGATCTGCTGCACACACACACACATCTCCAATCTCCCGGTTTTCGTTTCGAATTTGTTGAGAACAACAAACCACATGTCACGCGCCCGATGTACCTACATTGTCGTCACTCTATGCATGTTTTTTCGGGGATAAACATCCGTTAACACACTGATTCAACTGTGTGAAACAAGAGCTCCTATCTTATTATGATCTGATCCATCTAGGTATCTGTGAGTATGTGTTCTTTAGATTCCCTGCCTCTACCGTTTTACAATCTATTTGCTATTTGACTTCAACAGATGCTTCTATCAAACAGATGTGATGTAACAAGAGTTGTTTGTACCCACCCCAGTCCAACTCCATCCATTCGAATCTGATTGATTCGATGAATTTTTATCGTCGACACCCGTTGAACCTCAGTCCGAAGCCGACCGACCGCACTGTGCTACCGTGATCCGTGCACTATTTCTGTTCATTTTTGTGTCATTCAATTGAACAAGCACATTTTCCTGTCTCTCTGAACCTCTTTGTGCATTTACACCCTCTGTTGTCCCCACCCTCTATGTTTATCATGCAGACATCACACCGCTCTTTCCTTGTGGCTACTCCTTGCTTTCGTACTACATTATCACATGTGCTCCCTTCACTCTTATTATGTCTTTTTGATATCTGCGTGACCCGGTTAAACGGCGCATGCGCGCACACACACACACGAAGCGGCGGTTGAAGAAGGCTGCTAATGATGCTGCTCAGAATCACCGGTCCATTCGATCTCAGGATTTCTCCATTCGCCTATACACACACGCACACGTCCGTTCTATTGCAACTATCGCTGTGTCCGTCTCTAGTTTGTGACCACGAAGCACCGCCGTCGCTTTTCGTGTTCCGAGTACCACTACTGTGTGTTGCATTCGTTCATGTGTGTGTGTGTCGACCGCCAATTTATAGTTGATCGGTACCTAATCGACCCCCTCCCTTCTAGAGCCCCATGATTCATCTGCACGATTACCAGCAACGACCTGTATGCCAATTACACCTCCGCGACCCGAGACAGATGCAACACACACACACACTTTCTTTTAGTTCGTATTTGCACCTGCTGAGAAAATTTCGTTTGTTTTTGATTCACTTATTTTTATGCTTTTTCCGTACTGTTGTCAGTCACCATTATTATTCGTAGTGCTGTTCCCTACCCCGTCCCGTTTTCCTTGACGCATTACTGCGCATTTGTGCAATGCGCCCGTCGCTTTCACCCATTCACTTGGCTGTTCGTTTTCCTCACGGATCACGTGTCCATGACAGCTTGATATCATGGCAAATTGTGTGATTGGATGGATCGGTGGTCTGTACCTGTCTGTCGCTCGTTTGTTTGTTTGTCTCTATCTCTCACACTCCTCGTCTATTTCTCTTTAACTTCACGCACTTAAATATGTATTTTCTGATGTCCTATTTTTGCGAACCTGGTATTTATGTCATCCTAGCTATTTGTGATCATTCGTCATCAAGCGCCGTATCTCATTTTTGCCCAACGCCTTTTCACTTGCCTTATTTCTCTCCCTCTGTCTCAATATTTTACAGGTCCTGAACACGCGCCTGTTTGTTTGTGAGCATACGTGTGCGTGTATGTGTGTTCACCCATGTCAAATGCAATTGTTTCGACATCCGTTCGCGTTTTACTCTTGCCGTGAAATTCTGGTCAGTTCTGGGAATCCAAGACCACACTTTCCAGCTTCCCAATCATGTTGGTTGCGACAAAATCAGTAAGACCGGTCGCTGTGCCAAATAACGGTGCGGTTTTACAATAATTGATCACTTTCTGCGAACTGCACGTAAACAGGAAGCCTGACGATTCCGTTCGATCAAATTGGAATATGCGTTAGGATAGAGCAGTCAAAAGGCCATCGTATTCCATCTATTCTTACTGACTCGGATCTAATAGGTTAAGTTTGACTTATAACGTCTAAAAAAATATTCAGCTCAAACATCCTTTCGGTGTCTAATTGCCATGCCACCAGAGGAAAGCACGAGGGCTGGGATACTACCAGGTTGCCCAAGTCTAGACAGGGAAAGTCGAGAGGTAGAAGTCGGGCTCGAACAACGGACCTTCCGGTCAGCAAATTCGCACTTTAACCACTGGGCCATCTCGCCCCTCTTCTGGCATCTGAAAGACATTGATGGCTGGTACTGACGCTAGCATAGTGTAGGTGGATTTATCCCTTTGAGCAAGTTCTGCTTAACCAAAGGACACTGTTGACCGTGCAGGTTTGACTATTGCAGTTGAATCAACTGAAGGGAAAGCACGCAGTAGGCAGGATGGAGATTCCGTCCTGTAACTAAAGCCGATATGTGCTGAGAAGCACTGTGCAGCTCTTTCATCCTCATTGGGAATCATCCGCAGTGTGCGTGTTACGAAACTCTAGAGATTCTCGATCTCGTTTCCTCATAGACCCGGCCCGACACTTCCTTGGGTTTCGTGAATTGTGCATTGCTGATGATTCCCTATAAGAATGAAACAACTTTTTTGGCTTCCCAGCATAAATTGACCTCACTTGCAGGACGAAATCTCGGTTAAGAAATGATCAGATCTCACGCTGCCAACAGCGTGATTAACCAAAGGGATAACGGACAAAAATGCCTAGTATCCGTCATCATCAACTTTTCTGAGAAGTGACCAGTTAGTGTTCGGATGTATGCTGTGACTACTCACCACACGTTTACACAAGTATGACTATCGTTGGGAGAACCTCGTGTTTAGTATTCGTTTACTGGATTGAACCTCACCCTACCTGAGAATACGGAATTCCATTTCGAAAAATCGTCTCTGGCATGTATGTGTTCACGACACCTATACATGAATTGAAGTCTGCGATGTTATTTCAGTCATGATTGGTGTGTTGAGAGGACAAAGGAACGAGCATGGCTGCCATTACTTTGTGACCGGTTACGTTGGCCTGTCGAATACGCACGTCAGCAAACAACAAACGCATCCTAGGTAAAATTTTTATCGTGTTTGTTTAATAAGCTTGCTGATAAAGTGAAATCAAATTCTTATGTGTTTTACACACTTGTGTTCATTAATTATAGCAGTTTTCACAAGTCAGATGGTTGTTTACCTCCTTCGCGCACAGTATCCGGTTTTTAGACCCGATGCATTCACAACTGCTAGGATTAGATGCATCAACACCATTCCGCTTTTGAATAGGTTAGTGTGGCCTTTGATCGGTTATGGGGGGTGCGGTAAATTATACCGAACCGAATGCATCCAATTTCAAGGTGGCGAGTTTGATATCTGCTTAGTTAGCCAGCTTCGATACTAGCGATACATTTTCTGTGACCTGAAAGTAGCAGAATCTTTTCAAAAGTTAGCTTTTATCAGTTGCAACGCGCACAAAGATCAACCACAAGACCGGTTGGCAGATTCGTTGAAACTGCATCAACTGTAAATCTTGGGACAAGAACCATTTTATACTGGTCCCTACAAACCTGTGCTGATTTTTTGGATTGGACTCTGGACTAATGAAGCTTTTCATTCACCTGAGTTTTTCGCTAGTCAGTATGCTACCGGTGTTTTCCTGAACGGTGTCGATTGTGTTGTGATTAAGCATTTCCTGAGCAACATGCTTGAATCATAGTTGGATGTCTTGGTCTGTCTGTTGTTTTGGTACATTTGACGTATGGGGTCGAAAGCGTGACAAGTTTGGTTGGCTGTTGAGACCCAAAAGGTAGTGTTGTTTAGCAGGTGAACATAAGCGCCCCTGCAGTGGATACCACCCGACGGTGACATCAGATTACTTTGATTGGCTTACGTCGGACTTCCGTCACACACCTGCTTCGTTCATATAAAGACCACTGGAAATCAGATTACTTGATTGGCTTACGTCGGACTTCCGTCACACACCTGCTTCGTTCATATAAAGACCACTGGAATAGTTCATCATTATGGAAAAAATTCCCAGATATGTTTTAGACCCAAACCTAGAGGACACCTAAACTGTTAGTTTTACCGTTATCCATTAATCAGCCTCGATCGTCGAGGTGCACAAACGGAGGCACTGCCTAAGCTCCCATCCCTGGTGACCACCACGAGTTCAATCCTATTGGTTGAACTCATTCAGTTCGTGGACTATTGCAGTTGAATCAACTGAAGGGAAAGCACGCAGTAGGCAGGATGGAGATTCCGTCCTGTAACTAAAGCCGATATGTGCTGAGAAGCACTGTGCAGCTCTTTCATTCTCATTGGGAATCATCCGCAGTGTGCGTGTTACGAAACTCTAGAGATTCTCGATCTCGTTTCCTCATAGACCCGGCCCGACACTTCCTTGGGTTTCGTGAATTGTGCATTGCTGATGATTCCCTATAAGAATGAAACAACTTTTTTGGCTTCCCAGCATAAATTGACCTCACTTGCAGGACGAAATCTCGGTTAAGAAATGATCAGATCTCACGCTGCCAACAGCGTGATTAACCAAAGGGATAACGGACAAAAATGCCTAGTATCCGTCATCATCAACTTTTCTGAGAAGTGACCAGTTAGTGTTCGGATGTATGCTGTGACTACTCACCACACGTTTACACAAGTATGACTATCGTTGGGAGAACCTCGTGTTTAGTATTCGTTTACTGGATTGAACCTCACCCTACCTGAGAATACGGAATTCCATTTCGAAAAATCGTCTCTGGCATGTATGTGTTCACGACACCTATACATGAATTGAAGTCTGCGATGTTATTTCAGTCATGATTGGTGTGTTGAGAGGACAAAGGAACGAGCATGGCTGCCATTACTTTGTGACCGGTTACATTGGCCTGTCGAATACGCACGTCAGCAAACAACAAACGCATCCTAGGTAAAATTTTTATCGTGTTTGTTTAATAAGCTTGCTGATAAAGTGAAATCAAATTCTTATGTGTTTTACACACTTGTGTTCATTAATTATAGCAGTTTTCACAAGTCAGATGGTTGGTTACCTCCTTCGCGCACGGTATCCGGTTTTTAGACCCGATGCATTCACAACTGCTAGGATTAGATGCATCAACACCATTCCGCTTTTGAATAGGTTAGTGTGGCCTTTGATCGGTTATGGGGGGTGCGGTAAATTATACCGAACCGAATGCATCCAATTTCAAGGTGGCGAGTTTGATATCTGCTTAGTTAGCCAGCTTCGATACTAGCGATACATTTTCTGTGACCTGAAAGTAGCAGAATCTTTTCAAAAGTTAGCTTTTATCAGTTGCAACGCGCACAAAGATCAACCACAAGACCGGTTGGCAGATTCGTGGCATCAACTGTAAATCTTGGGACAAGAACCATTTTATACTGGTCCCTACAAACCTGTGCTGATTTTTTGGACTCTGGGACCGACTAATGAAGCTTTTCATTCACCTGAGTTTTTCGCTAGTCAGTATGCTACCGGTGTTTTCCTGAACGGTGTCGATTGTGATCTCAGTAAGCATTTCCTGAGCAACATGCTTGAATCATAGTTGGATGTCTTGGTCTGTCTGTTGTTTTGGTACATTTGACGTATGGGGTCGAAAGCGTGACAAGTTTGGTTGGCTGTTGAGACCCAAAAGGTAGTGTTGTTTAGCAGGTGAACATAAGCGCCCCTGCAGTGGATACCACCCGACGGTGACATCAGATCACTTTGATTGGCTTACGTGATGGCTGTGTGTGACCTAAGGAACCTCTAGGGTATCCATCTCCAGCCACGAGGACGACTATAGTTCTGGATTCGGACTTCCGTCACACACCTGCTTCGTTCATATAAAGACCACTGGAATAGTTCATCATTATGGAACAAATTCCCAGATATGTTTTAGACCCAAACCTAGAGGACACCTAAACTGTTAGTTTTACCGTTATCCATTAATCAGCCTCGATCGTCGAGGTGCACAAACGGAGGCACTGCCTAAGCTCCCATCCCTGGTGACCACCACGAGTTCAATCCTATTGGTTGAACTCATTCAGTTCGTGACCGAATGGTCAAGTGTTCAGACTACTAGGTTGCAAGTTCGAAATTCCCTGGGGTTTCATGAGACGCGCAATGCTGATGATTTCCAGTAAGGATAAAGCAGTGCTCGGTTTCCTTGCGTAGACTGGCTTTACTTCTCAACTGCACATCCTTTCAGTCGCGCGACCTTATGCTCCATTCGAACTGGCGCAAAAGCTACAGCAAACAACGAGGTAGAACTTTTTCAGTCGATCTTTGGACTATTTGAGTGATTCCCACTCGACGCGTGATGGAGTGTGCGTCGGAAGCAATATACAATGTGCTTTAGGTTTTTTAAGTGCGTTACTATTACACATCAACTGTGTGCCTTTTTCACGATCATGCGTACCGGTTTTTTCATAAGATGTTCATGGAGATGTGCAGTGTGTTGAATTTCACCCACGAGGCTGGACACTTCTTCGGAACACCCCGACTTTACTGTGGGACACCTAAATTTTTCTCGAAACATTCTGGCATAAAAAGGTGTAGTGTGTTCTGAAAGAGTGCTCACCCTCTGGACCGGTCAAAATCGAGCCACTCTTTGAAGCTTGCCGTTTTAGGAGAGATCGCAAAAATCTGACCAAAACGATGGAAAATTTATTCCATGCGGTTCTGCTAAGCACTTTCTCTCTGGGTTGTTTCGATGCATACTCACTGGGTTTGAGTCGAAA